TATAGGTAACTTCGTGTGCGCGTTACACTATTACCTTAACCTATTTTATAAGACGAATAACTTTAGGATTAAAAGGTAGCTTAACTAACTTAACTTTAAGTATTTACTTTAAAACTTTAAAATTACATTTAATACTTATATATATAAAGGCTTAAGTTAAACTATTAGTAGATAGGTCTCTTTTAAGGAATGCGTTTTACGTATTAAATTCTACCTAATTATTTTAGTATATATTTTACAGGTACCTAGTAAGTAGGTTATATCTTATAACCTAATTAATAATAGAATTAAAAGCAATACTAAGTAGAGTATTTACGTAGCTGTAATAAAAGTAATATAACGTTTATTTCTTCTCTAACCTAAGGTTAATACCTATTCTATTAAGGTAAAAAGCGTATATTAAATACTTTATTAGCACTATTTTAAACTTAACCTATCTGCTAGTAATGCGAATTAACCGTTAAAACACAGGCGTTTTTAGCATACTAGATTTCTAGTAAACCCTAGTTGCGCTTCTGCGAATATGAGATGAGAAGAGGCGAGAAGCTTTATTAAACCCTTCTACTTTAATAGCATTATCCCGTATAGCACGAGCTAGTATATGACTTACGGGACATAGAATCGGCAACGGGTTTTCGCGAAATAAAAAGATGGTGCTAAGCGCCTGGTTAGTAAGGGCACAGCAGCATCACTATAATGTTCAACAAGGGTGCTACCATACGGCTTGGGCTTATTCTTAGCTCCTTTGTGGTGTCGGAACATGACTTCCATCGCCAAAACGTCCCTATCCCCTCCATTAGGATCCTGGACAAGCCAGAGCACAATGTCTTCGTAGCACAGAGCCTTGTGCTTTCGAACTATCTCGTGGTCTTCCTCAGCCTCATCTAGATCCATGGGATCGCCGGCTTGAGTAAATTGCTGACTCTGGCCGCCCTGGTTGGTAGTGTTATTGGAGTCCTCGTCGTCAGACTCGGTATCCTCTGCGCCATCACTGTCATAGGGGTCATCGGTGTCCAACACAGAGTTGTCAGAATCTGAATCGTGTTCTTGCTCTGACTCCTCCTGCTTGTGCCCAGCACCCGAGACTGCGTTATGTTCCTCGACGGACTGCGTGATGTCCTGCGATATTGGAAGACTGCGCTTCACAGCCATCCCTGTAGCTGCGTCATCATGCTCCAAATCTTTAAACAACGGATCTTGTCCTCCCCTACACTTAGTGCCATCCATAAGCTCAGCTGGCCTACAAGCAGTATACGATTAGAAGAGCATAATAGTGGCAAGGTTAAGACGGTCGTCTTCGGTGGGGAAGACACTCCTGTCGCGGCACCAGTGTTATGTTAGCCCCAGCAGGAGATTATCCACTCCCATAACAGGCTTGGATCCGGGCTGGTCATCTAAATTGAATTGGCTTTTTAATCGGCCGTGGATATGCTGTTGACTGTTAGTATGCAACGCGCACTTCTATCAGCTAATACAGGGACTACCTTTCAAATTTCTTCGCAGTTATTCGCATTAACGACTCTGCCCTGGTTTAACCGTCGGTATAACATCTTAAAGTCGCGCTAATATTAGTTTATTATCTTTAATTTAGCTTGCTTACGTCTAGGCTACATGTAGGTCTCGTAAATGAAAAATAAAAATGTTATTATTAAACCCTTATTATAGTATTACCACTTAATAGCTTTCCGCTAATTACCATGTTTCTTTTCCCGGTAAAATTTAGCTACCAGTTAGATAACTCCTCTTATTAAATTAGGGCTTATTTTAGACTGCACCTCATAAATTTCTTTCTAATATAGTAAATATTAGCTATAGTAGTGTCTGCATCTATTAGGGCCAGAAATGTTTCCTCATTCAGCTGTCTCTGCATGCGGTGATAGCTAAGTGCACTTATTGTATGTTTCTGCCTTTCTTTCCGAGCTAGAGTAGCTTGATGGCGTCGCCGAGCCGCGACCTCGAGGGTTCGCAAAACAGTATCGTGCATTTGTTTGCCAGTCATGTTCATTTCTAAAGATAAAATGTTCCAAAGGGACAAAGTGCAAGTTCCTCACCTCTCTTTACAAATGGAGATGAGTAGAATGGATCGAGAACAGGGTGGGCATATTCTTCCCATTTATGGGCGGCTGGGAACCTGTTTACGAGAGAGACGGTGACATAAATAGGCCATTGGGTTAGTGTGGCACAGTGACTCACCCAACTGTCTGGCAAAGGGGAGACGTTGCAGCGTCCTAATAATGGCCCACTGCACTTGGGTCCAAAGGAACGATGCGGTGAATGCCCGATCCGCTGGCCAAAGAGAACAATTTTATTTCGTCTCAGTTTCGTAATTTTTAGTTTTCAATTTTTTTGGAGATTAATCGTTTGTTTATACATTAATACACCTGTATCATACGTTGACGTTTGTACCGTAATTTGGAGGGGACAAAACAAACATTGATGCTTGAACCAAGTGGAGGGTGGGGCTTGTCAAGGAGGTGTCTGCTTGTGTCAACACTTGGGACGGAAGTGTAACTACTCGTTTTATGTCATCGCTTGGATATGGCAATGAGCGACTTAAAGTTTACGTCAACACGGCAAGTGCGGTTGGGCGACCCTGATGGAGAAAATTCTACTATATAAACGGCCGAACCCCCTAATGCTTTGAATCAGACTTTGTTCTCCATACTTCTCCAATGTCCACTGTAGCATCAGGTAAGCCAAAGAAAAGAGACAGAAGTAATGAAAACTTCAAAAAGAGGTGGAACACTTTCGTAAAAAGCGGATGCGATGTCCATGAAGACTACCGAGCCGATGTGTATATTTTGCTAAGGCGGAACGGTCGGATATACGAATTTAAATCCACTGACAAAGCCTGGCCTTTGTCTGCAGAGGAAGTTGTGAGGCACACTCTGAGGCGCGGGAATCTGAGAGCAATAGCTAACAATCAGTAATAGGAGAACAGCTTCCCACTGCCCCTTCAGGTGACCGCTGCAGATATGGCACGTCAAGAAAGTGTAGCATCGGAATCAGACAGCAGTGCAAAGGAGTAGCACCAAGGTGGATTCCCAGGGAGTTGGAGGTGTTCTCCTTTTATGTATATTCTGGCGCATTTCCGACCTCGTAGAGCAAGGTGGGACTAGACTAGAGCATAGTGAAAGAAACAACTAGAGAGGTAGAAAATTCGCACCCATTTACATAGCGTTTTTGGCGGGTACGTGATTCCAGCAAAATACAATAAGTTACTCAAGCGCGGACAATCCCTTTTGGGTGCCCAGAGGGAGCGGTTGGTACTGGTCCACTGATTGTTAATTGTCACCTAATCTTGCTAAGCCCTGTAACTGCCGCGTAAAAAAGGGAAGAAAAATAGCAGATATTGATATTATTATGCGCAAAAATAGCTTCCTGTCTCCACAGTCTTCATCATATGGTAGTATGGTGTCCTGGCATGTATGTCGTCCAAAAACTCCCATAAACTACTAAAACTTGACTTAAAAACTAGGACAATTCAAAAGCAAAGCTTTCATTGTTAATAATTCTTTTTCCGAGTCTAAACGAGAATTTTGGCGCTGCCGAACATTAATCTCGTAGTGTTCCGCAGAGGAAGCTGCTTTTGCGCAGGATAATATACAAGTACTTACATACCGTATTGTACTGTGAATATTGATACATATGCCCTTAGTATTAATATTTAAACAATTGCTCATCACCTAGGCATATTCTGAGCTACTTGCTGGATAGGCCACCATCCTTCAGAGTGTCAGGTCTTGCTTGCAGCCAATCAGGTTATGGCGTTCTGGTCGTAGCACTAATACCCAGCTCGCCAGCCTGGTCGTCTATTTTACATCTTGGCTCCTACATACGGAATAGCAGCATTTGGCCCCAGCACAGCCGGATCAATGCATTCTTCCATAAGCTCGTCAAGCAGTCTCATTGAGTCCGAGCCCGCTACGGCCGACTGTTGCTCGGCAGCACTTTGTTCTGCAGTTTGTAGTAGCATGGCGGGGTCTTCGCTGAAGTCGTCATTGCCATGTGGAGGATTCGGCCACTCCAAGGCACCATTCACATCTGCACGTACGGGGGAGTCGACAAAGGTTAGGAGCTCCCGATAGTTCTTTTGGCTCATTTCCCTGATCTCAAGCTCACCAAGTGTCTCCAATAGAAGCTTTTGTGTTGGCAATACACCGTAAGTAAGCAAATGCCACATGAGAAATGAGAGGTCTTCGATATCTTTCTTCAAGTTTGGATGCTGTGCTTTAATTCTTAATAACAGCTCCTGCTCATCAGGGCGATTAAGCCTGAGGCCGCTGTCACAATTGTGAGTGGGGGGGCGTGTCGCTTCCAAAACGAATTGGGTAACCTACTGTGTGTTCCTGAATTGTTTAGGTATGAGGGATAGAGCCCCGCACCCAAACTCGTCGTCGAAGTCGAGCCAAATCCTGTGCTTTTGCACTTCTGCCTTCCATTTTGTTTGCATTTTCTTCCTTCTAGTCCGTTCTGTCGTATTCTTCAGGTTTTTACGGACCCAATCCTTCAACAAGATTTTGGTAAATATAACGCCCAAAGAATATTTCGTCCTTTTTGGCTTATTGTAGTGATCGTAAAGCTGTACAATTAATGCAGAGTGATATCTGTCGGCAGTAGTCTTGATGTGCTCATTTTGTCGAAGTTTCTCAAAATGAGTATGGAGGCATTCGAGCTGTTTAGCAACCTCTCCTTCGCTCTCTGTCTTACATTTTGGAAATGCACTTAATGGCTCTTGGGCATTAAAGGACATACGGTTCCGCTCTTGAAGTATGACTTCTCGGAGTTCTATCAATGTATCCGGCGCCGTGAGTTCGTTGGCGACCACATCGGCGGCGGCTTTGGCTAATATATAGTCGCGCTTGAGTCCATCATCTGAAAGTTGGGCGTAGCTACGTTTTGTCTTTTCCAGCCTGACTTCTGCATTGACGTCTCCATTCTTCCGGAGGGACTTACGAGAGTCATCATGGCTTACGGGATCTGCAACTGATGGGTTTGGTGTCTCGGAGGGGAGGGGTCGAAGCGTCCTGTATTCGGAGCGACCAGGTAGAGGCTGGATGTTTGTTTTCGGGCCCGCGTCGTCGCTGACACACGTCCGACAATCAGCAGCACCTACCTTCTCCGGCGGTGGGCTCTCTGGCGGCGGTGTGGGTAGGTCATTAGATATCGTAGCAGCAGATATCGACTGGAGAGATCGGATGTTTGATGCCAGCTTTGGATGGCGAGAAAGGTACTCATCTATCTCGCTGCGGCTCTGGACAATCAAGGCATCAAATGTATGCAGGAGCTACAGGCGACTGATAGTTAGTGTACACTCCTCAGATTGGCGGGCGACCCACTTCTGGAACACTGAACGTAGGTTGCCCGTTGCTGGTGTTGCATAATATGGGCTGAGTTGTGGTTTGATCACGATCACTGGGGAGAATAGCCATTACACCTGTGGTTTGGAAAGGTAAAATGAGAAAGAAGGAGGAAAATGGGAGAGGATGAGAACGGGGGTGAGGCCAGTTTTAAGGAACGGACACCCAGAAATCGACTCTTGCCAGTCGCTGGCTCACTGCTTTCCTGCATGCAGTGACCCACAATGACGGCTTTCCAAGTTTGTCATGTTCGTGACGTGAATTGATGACGGACAGTACACACCCCCAGCTATGGTGACATGGGTCGGGCTCGTTCCTGCCACGCTGACCTCTGCAAGGTACCCAGCCTACATTTACTCTCCCCTGCCATCTTCTCATATCAAACTTAGTAGTTATATGAAGTTTCACAGCATCATAGACATTCGATGACGGCTTTACGATTTTGTAATTTGGATATCTAGTTCAACCTCTGAGTTGCGGGGAACACCATGCCATCGGGTGATGGGTTGGGGTATGCAAGAGGTATAAGAGCACTCTGCCTGGGTCCGACTAGCCCATTTGGCGGCGTGACGCAATACAGATGCGGTAACCACGTACGAAGACCTGAAGAGCAGCCAGAGGCTCTACGTGAAGAAATTCTCTCCGCCGTTTTTACGTCAATATTCCCAAGACCGGACACCTGGAAAGCCCGAGGAACAAACGCAAATGTAATGTTCTGATCCAGCTCGGAATGTCAGATTCCGTAGGCCCGGAGCCGCAAGTAAAGACTTTGTTAGCCGGTAAGTCTGGTTCCAGAATGACTTGGAGCTAGGGTTTTTGGCTCATCCCATGTCGCACGACCTTATTGAGAATAGCATTCAAGTTATGAACAAACCGGCTTGGTTCTGGTCTTAAATAAAAATAGTTGCTTGGCGAACGTTTGTTTGTTTGGACCCCACTATCGCTGACCTGCAATTCTGACAGAGCCATCGTTTAAAGAGGACTGAGAGACAGAAGGTTGCATGTTGCCGAGATCAGATGACTCACTGACGTTATCCTTCCGCCCACACACTCGACAAACCCCCACACCCTACCCCCTCCTCCCCCTGAAAGGGTTGGAGATCCCCTCGATATGTGCCGGAGATGACGGCACCAAAATGGTGCCAGGCACCAGGCACCTTAGGAAGGTCCAGCATCCACAGAACCCGTCAAGCTATGTGGTGCAAGTGGAGCAAGCCGCACCTCCGCATCCCGACCCTTCCAAGCTCTGCTTGGTCGCCAATGCGAGGTGCCAATGGTTCGCCAATGAGTTGCCGGGGAGTGAAGATATAGCAAAGGCACTGAATGCTTTCAAAGATACCATTTGTGTTGGAATGGTGGAAACAAGGAACAAGTAGACTTGGAGGAAAGGATCGCCGTAAGTTAAGCCATTATACTGGCTCAAGTGGTGAGAGCCCTGAAGTGGCGACATGCCCACCCACCAAGTCTGCAGGTGGGGAAGATCTCACAGCCGATTGGCCGCGTCTGATGAATTCTTTCCTGAATATACCTACACAATGCAATCTCTCCAGGTTGTGATAGCTTCGCATTGCTTGCATGGCGACCGCCTTTGGGTAGAATGCCCGAATCCGACGATTCAGCTGGTGTCGTGAAATGTTGAATTCCTTGGCCACAGATCTTTTTTTTGGCAGTTGGGTTCGCTCTGATGTACTGAATAGCTTTATTAACGCGTCCTCGAGATCGCTGGATCAGTGGAATCCATCGTGGTAGCTGAGAAATTCGCGGCAGAAGTGATGATCTTTAGAAAATGGGCTCGGTTTGGGGCTCGTTTTGGTGTGGGGGCGTGGCACGAGTATATGTCCGTTCGGATGCGCCTGGGCTCTGCTGCCACGTGCCGTCTCCTGAATAAATGTTTAATGCTTGTGCGAACTAACGTAGTCCAAAAGCGAGTGAGCCACACAAGCGAGTGTGCCACCGCAAATTCCCATACAAATGGCACTTTTCAACTCCCATGCAAAAACAGCTAATTTTAGATGAAAAGCTATAAAATTTTGTCAGAATATTTCTTATATGATTTTAACCGCAATACTAGACTTATATGGTTAACAACCCTCTACTCAGGAAGACACTTTGAAACTTCGTTATAAGATATGCATATAAGCAGAAAAGACAGATAATTCACCATATAGCAATCTGTAGAGTCTTGGAACTCTAGTTATCAGAGCATTCTTATATTATAATAAGAGAGATGAGACTGTTTTGGTTATTTTAATACCAAATCCATCGCTTTTAAATGGGGGTCAAAAAGTGCCATTTGTATGGGAATTTGGGGTGGCCCGCTCGCTTGTGTGGCTCACTCGCTTATGGACTACGTTACATCGTGCCTGCTCCGAGACAAGGCGGAACAATAAGTGCCGGAAACGAGTTGCGTCGATGCAAGTTAACAATTTGTTGTCAGCTTTTGGCCACACGCTGTGAATTAAGTGAGTGTACCCGGCCGTTGGCTGCAGCCAGGGACTTCCAGCCGCCACCCTCACCAAAATAGGACATGTTGGCGCACGGACGAGCATGTGTGGTGGGTGGTATAAACGTGTCGTGTTATAGCGTCCAATCTGTGGTGGGGAACTGCCTTTTCGTCGTCTCAGGCGAGGGACGCGTTTCGTGGCAACTCCGAGGTAGCAGTGACAAGTAGTTGGAGACCGCGGCTCTCATATCCTGAGCTGTTTAAGCAAACAAACGTCATCAACAGTCCTCGGCCTGGTCTGCCTGCAAGCGAGAGAATGAGCATTGTGCAGACGCGACTCGACACGACGACCAGCTCCTACCACCCTTCCATCGTTTGAACCTCGCAGAGCTCCGTGACTTGTCCGGCAGCGGGTTGTGTTGTCATGTGTGTTGTCATGGTTCTCGTCAAGATGGAGCTCGACTGGGAGCAGGTTACCGGGATTCACATTTAGCAGCAGACGGTCGTTGTACCCAAAGTCAAAATTGGGGGGCCAAAAAACGTAATAATATCGTGCTCAAGGGGATACCTTCTGAAGTCTCTTGCAATCACCTTTGTGATTAGGCCAGTCCTCTGCGTGGTATGGAATCAGTACTGCGCTGGGAAAATACGTACGGAAATAAGTACAGAAAATAGCAACTTACCAGTTTGACACTCCTTATTGCAATAGTATCTCTCCTTACACCTCCCGCACCTCAGCATTCTTGGCTCCTCATCATCAATTTGTTCTCTCCTCCCACACCCACTACAAACCTCGGCCCACTGTCCCCTATTTAAAACAGTTTCCACCGCAACAAGCATCACGTATCCTTGTTTCTTGACCTGTCCCGTTCTCCTCAGTATATTTTGTGCCTCCAACTGCTCCAAAACCCCCTCATTCTCAGAATAAGTCTTCATCCAGAACGTCATCCTCAGAGGGTCGTTCGATGGTATTAGAGATTCAGAGGATCCGGCTGTGAGGACTGCGAACAGCGGGTCGAGGTATTCGTCGAAGGGGTTGCGGCGCGAGTGGATGAGCGTAAGGTTCGGGTTCTGCACGTTGTAGCCGAGGGGGTAACGACAAAGCAGCATCTCCATGGGATTCGTCAGGGGGTGTTCTGTAGAGGGAGGATGGCAAGGTAGGTCATCGCGGGTCAAGTGGAAAGGGCGAAGGGATGGGAGAGTTGACATGATGGGTTATTTGATCCAAAAAGTGATTTGTGTATTCACCCAGAAGCCTGCTTGAAAACCACCATCAGAGAAGAGAGCCTGGAAGCTTTTGAGGAGCTGGCTACCTAGTTGTGCCCCGCCCCTTTAATGGCACTCGCAGGACTCGCAGCACCAATTGTGGGGCGTGGCACGAGTATACGTGTTACGTCTGGAACAGAGGCTAGCAACAACAATGTGAAAGGCTTATTTTCTTAACGGCATGAGCCACTTGTACAGGCTTGTTGAGGCGATGACAACATGATACACGATCAAGAACGCGACTTCAAAGATGCAGGTGCACGGAACGAGGTCCTCATGGCACGTGAGTATTTATTAGGGTCTTTGGGAGACTATCTCGGTGGACTACGAACAACTGGATTATGGAATCTTGATATGGATGGGAAGACATATTGTACATTGACTTGAGAAAAGACGGTAACCACGACTTGGGAATGAGCTTAGCTGTGGGTGCCTGGCACTGGGGGCAGAGCACAGGAGCTCTGCCGGGGTGGGTAGGACGACCGAGCTGCGGCGTGTATGTTCGTCCTTGATGGCGAGGAGCACGCCTATGGCTGCTCATGTCACTTTCATTGACGTAAAAAGGAGAGAGTACGACAAAACAGCGAGGTGAGTAGGAGAGCGATAGAAGCGCAAGGCCAGTGGATCGGCAACTAGTAAAGGTCAATCTCTGGACGTTTCCCCTTTATTTAAGCCCGTTCTTACTCCTAGTCGACCTGCCCGGCTCCGAAAGGGACCTGTTGTAAGGGAAGTAAGGTGAGATCATCACTGCAAAAGGGACACGGCGACTAGGCTGGTCATCATCCCTAGGTGAAAGTGCCATTATACAAGCAGTATGAAGAGGCAAGGCGAAGGCGGCACCCCGTACCTACATCTACCCTCCTTGTACCGCTGCCCCCGTCTTTTACACCATTTGGTGCCATGGCCTCATATCGACTATCTCCATCAAGTGGACGTAGAAGCTGGACGTAGAAGCCCCCACTGCTGCTCTTGTATCATATTTCATATGACAAGAAACCTTGCGGCAAGACGTCCACTGCCATGCGGTCAACGGCTAGGACCTGAAGGCCATGATCCAGCAGTAGGCGATGTCCTTCGCCAACCACCAACGACGGTAGTCTTCTCTGTGTGCAGAACTTCCTAGATGGCTGCACCAGACTACATTGTGATGATGCGGTTTGTAGAGAAATGGAAGTGAAGGGTGTGCAGCAGTTGTCGCTGTTCCTTTAGCACTCATATTAATATTCATTAAGGTATTAATATTAATACAAGCAATGGCCAGGGCAAACTCAAACTGCGATGCTACTTCCAGACTTGCTCGAGCCACACTCAAGTGGTATTAGGCGTATGACCAAGATTAATGCGTGTGATTGGTCGCAGCATAAGCCAGCTATGATCTTTTTCATACACTAGGCTTGCCTGACGGCGAGACTGTTGGTACTCACCCGACCGAGGAAAAAAGCTTTTATTGTTGAGGGCTTTAAAACGACGCCATCTTGGTATTCTCACTCACGGGGTGAATAACGAGCGTCTCGTTCAAAATCCTTGAGGACCGGGGGTGGGGTTAATATCCAGATACTCAAGGGCCATAGCAACTGGGTTACCTCGGTAGCGTTCTCACACGACCTCTCACTCATTGCATCGGCTTCAGAGGATCAGACGGTGCAGCTCTGGCACGCTGCAACGGGCAAATGCATAGCTCTCGGTGTCGCTCTTTGTCTGTCCATCGCTCGATGTTTCTGATTCCGCTTTCTTGTGACGTGGCCATTCCATGCTCTCTGGTCGCGACGCGTCTCTCGTGCGCTAACCCTAAAGCACCTGTCTAACTTTAATAAACTGACAAACCCTTCCATTGCGTCTTTGCTTTAGCTCTGGAAGTAAACGCTTCCAGATTCCCAGGGGATGTCGCGTGGAGGTAGCAGAGTCCGTCTTCATCCCCCTACGGTGGGGGTTCACGGCCGGACGCCCACGAATCAGTCGCCGGGGCTCTGTTCTGGCTTATGTAATAGAAGGAATATTGTCACATGAGCATCTAGGTAGTTTGGCGGGGTTGCCAGGCACGGTGGGGTCATTGGGTTCGACTATGGCAACCGTAACCTCCATCTTTGTGTGCAATGACAATGTCGTGCGTTATATCAATGCTTTTTGATTCTGGTAAAACGCCTTATCACTCTTGGCGTAGTGGAAAACGTTCACTCCTACCTTTCGCGGCAATATGATCGCAACGGCCATATCGAGATATCAACCGAGACACGACCAAAATACTCTTCCAACCGTACAAAGAGCGCCATTAAATCTTGAGACTCACCTTTAAAGTGTGCGTGAGTGTGCGCGCCTTAGCTGAGGAGATGCCAAGGGAGAAGGATAAGGGAAGGAAGGGAGGGAAACGAGATAAAGACGCTCTGCCGGTGGGTGATACTGTTTGCATAACATTTTGTCAGTGCTGACCAGTCAGTTAAGGTTGGGGCCAAAGCGCTCGCAGGTCAGGAGGAATTTATACAAGGAAAGATTTTTGGTCCATTTGAAGAAGCTTCGCAAGTACAGGGGAGAGGCAAACTTATTCAAGTCTACGATCCAAACACACAACCTGGCTCACCAGCATACTGGGAATATGAGGACGAAGTAAATCCTGACGTTGGTTTTATTCCAGCAAATTACAAGGTACGGGTGGTGAAGGCTCATGTGGCATTCATACCACTTGCATCTCAAGCTCTTCCATGACTTCAGTCCCCTCATCGAAGCCAAGCAGCAACTGAAGAGTAATATCGCCCCTATTTCTCGGAGTCAACCCTTGTATACAATCTGTTGTCGAACCTCCTGTTTGTCGCTCCCATTTGTATTGGTTGCTTGCTTGGACCGCATTTGCCAGATCAGGACCCAACATCGAGATGACATCGATGGATGCTTCGGAGTATTTGTATTCGATTTCTGCATGGAAACGGTGGTTAGACCGGAAGCGAATAAAGACATCTGGTACTTACGTCTCTCAACAACTGACTGATGTTCTGTATTTGTTGTGTTTGCGTTGGTCAATGGGGCAGTCTTACCACCAGTGACCCCGAGTCTAAGCGCGAGACCATCAAGAACAGGATGTTGGAAAGTCTTTGAGTTGTTCTTCAGATAACTTAGCAGGGATATCCTCTCTCTGATGTTTAAATCAACTATTCTTCGCTTGCCCAAACTTTTAGCACACAATAAAGTCGTACTAGGACCACAATGATCGCGGATATCAATAAGAAACTGTTTGTATATTTTCTCCCGACGCCCTGTCTGTTCGTTTTGCATAATTTTAGCCGCCGTAGACATCAGGCCGGCTGTGTCGTCCAAACGCTGCAAGACATCAAGTTTTTGTATGGTATCGTGCATTTTCTCGATGCAGTTCCTAACACTAGTCGGCAACCGGCTAAGAGCTGATCGCGCCGCAAGTTCGGTCTCGATGCAATAAGTCGTTTGTCGGGCAAGCTGGAGAAGAATCCGAAGGTCTCCTGTGTCAACTCCATCAAGATCATCATTGGGGGAGAGGTCCCCTTGTCCGCGGGTTCTCATGATGAGACACGGACTCTCTAGAGTAGGAGTGGTGGACAAAGCCATAGTAAGGGGCAACTGGGAAAATGATGGGTAATTACCTGGTAAAGTCGGGGGAAATCCGTAGTATTTATTATTGTGCCCCTGGGTAACCCAGGCACCCCGCTTCTGCTTACCCTTTGATCGCCGAGCTTTTACCCCCCACCAATAATGTAACCAGTCTTTAGATTGCGGATGACACCCTTGTCCTTCCATATCCTTCCTTCCCTTCTTCCCTTCCAGCTGCAATGTGATGCGGCTTACAGGAATGGCCGCATCAGCGTAGGTTGTGTTGGTTCACTAATCTCGATTATGTTGTTTCATAGCAACATGCTTGATCACGGCCAGTATGCCATAGCCGCAAGTTCATTTGAATGTATTGGGGATGGCTTGGATAGATAAAGTATAAAGTGCCTGCTCTGTTCTTGCACTTTCGGCAACATGTTCCTTCCAACACGTTTTACAAGCATAAGCCTATTCTTGATCACCAAAGACAATATTTTAAGTGCTTGATAACTTGAACATCCCATCATCGGAATCTCTGGTTAAATGTTAGTCATATGATTCTCCTTTACCAACATCATCGGAGCGGGAGCGCCGTATACCACGTCTCTTGCAAAAAAAAAAAAAACTGCGCTCTAGTTCTCTTGCGGACAATACTCTGCGTCTTTTTGCGGGCTCGTCATCGTCGGCCCGTAACAATGGAGAGTTCGAAGAACAACATGCCCAGTTCTCTGATCATTGAAGCATATAATCCCTCAACCCAATATCAATCTATCCCGGATCACTCGGAGGCCGTTTCCAAAGTTGATGACTGTGCGCGAGAATTGGAAGCAGCTGTTAAGCAGCTCCTCAAGAGAACTGAGCATGCAAGAAAAGCAGAGCAAGGTCAAATTATGATACAGAAAAAACTCCAGACACTGGAGTTGGAAAATGCAGCCGCCTTGCATCGTATTCACGAAATGGAAGAGAAATACTTAAAACTGGAAGCAATTACATTGGAAAAGGACGAACAACTCCGGCAAAGTTGGCAATCGCTGCAAACAGCAGCACAATCCAACAGCGAGCTCGAGCAAGGAAGAAACTTGGCAATTGCGGTAGTAGAAGAGACGCAACAGACTGCGAAAGTTTATGAGACGTGGGCCAAAGGCGAGATTGAAAGGGCGCTTCAGTCAAGCGTCGCGGCGCATGATCACGCCAAAAGAGCCGAGGAAGAAATGAGCTCAGCGGTCAATAGGGAGAGGGAGTCATACCACGCCAGAGAAGTAGCAGAAAGGCGAGCTAAAGATGCAGAACAGTCCAGACACGAAGCTGAGAAGCGAGCCGAAGATGCAGAACAGGCGCCACACGGAGCTGAGAAGCGAGCCGAAGATGCAGAACAGGCCCGATACGGAGCTGAGAAGCGAGCTGAAGATGCAGAAGAGGCGCGACACGAAGCTGAGAAGCGAGCCGAAGATGCAGAACAGGCGCCACACGGAGCTGAGAAGCGAGCCGAAGATGCAGAACAGGCCCAACAGGAAAAGGAGAGGCGCGCTGAAGAAGCAGACCGAGCAAGACTTAAAGCTGAGAAAGCTAAAGCATTGGCGGAAAAACATAAAGATGAGTTGGAAAGAAATCAGGTATAGATAATTACATCGACAAGACAAGCAGAGGCACGGGCAGAAAAGGCAAAAGCAAACCTGGCATTAGCAATTGAGAGCGAGAAAGAGGTTAAACGGCAGCTTAACACGGCAGCTCCCGTGCGCCATGCGATTGAACCAACTATCTCGCTTAAGCGATAAAAGAAGGGGCCTTTCGGTCCGAACAAAAAACCACGGCTGTTAAAATCAGCCGCACACAACGGGACAGGGCTCCAGAGCCCAAAGATAACGTGGCATAACGAGCGACTATAATATTTGGTGCATGATCTCGCCCGAGTGGTTGACAACTAGGGAGCGGAAGAAGTGAGATATGCTCGTTTCACGTTTAATACCAACTCAGTCTAGGTTAACGGAGTGGAGAAAAATTATGAGATTACCGAATCTTCTCATCTTATTAGATGTGTCCGTTATGCTAAAGAAATTATCGTCACAATTTAATGTTATATCCTTAGCGCGCAAGGTCTATTTATCAAATCTTAATCTCAAAGCCGCTAAGAAGCTGTTACACGCCAATGTAGCCCAAACCGTATCTAGACGGTACGCCTAAAAATTCAAAGTGGGCGAGGAGACTAAACGAGTCACGCTATTCCTATGGACAAATCTTGCAGATATCCTTAACAAAGTTACAGAGGTTTATCATGTCAAAGATGCCGTCACGGTTAGCGTGTGAAGCGAGAGAATCTGAGTCAGTGTTCTTACGACTCCACCCCATCATGCGTATGGCATTCTCTCTAATGAACCGTCGCCTGCAGCTCCCTTGGGTGTGATGGAAGTTCCTTCTCACAAAATATCCACACCTGAAAACTTCGAGGAAGCTCCTTCTGAGTTATCATCTAGTATTCATGAACTCGACCTTGGCAGTGGCCAGATCTATGAACCCCATCCTAATGCTAGCACCGATCGGGGAGACTATTTCGCCCGGAGGGATCTCCCTAGAGGGCCTTGTCTGTGAATCTACTATCGCTCCTTAACAATTGGCCATGTCTCGTCCAGCCCCACGCTGTCAACTTCCTTTCTTTCTTGCTTGATTGGTGATTATGCTATTCCTTCACCGCTTGTCGCTTCGTCCATGCGCTCGTGCCCAAAGTGAAGTAAAATCCGTATCCGCATCCGTAGTTTATCTTTCCCTTTGCAAAGGGAAAGGCTCACAAGAACCACGTAGCTCCTCTTCACAATCCCGTTCTCAGGCCAGCTTTTTAACGCGTAGCTGATACGTCTTGGCTTCGACTGATGGCAAGGCCAAATGGCTGTCATCGCTCGGCTTTGCCTATGATTTCGCTCTTTGTCTGTGTCGCTCTTTGTCCGTCGTTAGATGTTTCTGATTCCGCCTTTTTCGTTGCTTCCTGCTTTCAATTGTGACGTGGCCGTTCCATGCTCTGTGGTCGCGACGCGTCTGTCGTGCGCCAGCCCAAAGCACCTGTCCAACTGTGACAAGCTGACAAACCCTTCCTTGCGTCTCTGCTTTAGCTCTGGAAGTGAACGTTTCCAGATTCCCAGGGGATACCGCGTGGAGATACCGTCTTCATCCCCACGACTGATACATGGGCACCCGGGTGCCCAAATTATGTCAGCACTCCTCTAGCGCTGGACAGAACCTGTGCCCCGACATGTTCCTGCAGCCACTGCACATTGCAGCGCCAATCATATTGATGAAACATGGATCAGGCAGTATTCCCCGACGAAGGCACATATGATTCACGCGAGTCCTTATTTGATGCTATCAATTCTTGGGCGAAACCTCGAGGGTATGCATTTACCCTACCCCTCCGGGCGAAATAAAATATGTGTCCGTGGTTCAATTGGTCAACTGTGATGAGCCATAAATAAGTGGGGGTGTATCACAGGCAGGTCGTTGAGGTTTGCTTGCCCCTTTCTCCCCGCGTTCAAAATAGCGAACCATTTTCATCGCAGCGAGTTGAACCCTTCCAGCCGTGTGCCACAGTGATCATGACGGGCAAGAAGAAGACCAAAGGCAAATCGAGGAAGAATCCTAGTGGCCACTCTACCTTATGTGCAGCAAATGACCAGAAATCGAGCTGGTTCTTCCAACTGCCGCAAGAGCTCCGAATTTCGATATACGGCTACCTTTTCCTGAGCACCAGAGTCTCGCACGGCAGAAGACCAGTGAGAAGAATTGCAGAGATAAGAATTACTCCTGCTCCTCATTCCCTCGCATTGTTGAGAACTTGCCGTCGCGTGAGAACTGAAATTGGAGACAGCTGGCTTGGCCAGGTCCTGTTCAGCTTCGAAGACACCGAAACTATGATGGTAAAATTGACGGCGCTTTCTATGGCAACTCTATCAAAGATCCGCCACTTGCGGATTCGAGGGGAGACTTTGATGCTTTCTTTTGGAGATGAGGATGTCTATTACCGCCTGGTCCACATTCTGAAGCTTCTGCCTGGCTTGCAACTCGACACCTTTACCGTTCTCAATATGTACGACGAATCCGTCAGCTACGATGTCTTGAATACTCTCATAAAGTATGGTGAGGGGTGGAAGGAGCTACGATTTATCTCCCACGGTTCATCACTACTCGGATACGCGCAGCCGCCTGACATTTTCAACGACGAGCACTTCAATGAGCGGTATCAGCGCAAGCCACAGCCAGCTCACTGGGTCAGTGCCATGAACAGCCGCGATGGTATCGAAAATCAACCGTCAGTTACTATTTATCGATCTACGCTGGCTGGCGAGGCCTGCTCCGTGATTAACGAAGCAACGCGTGTGCTTTTCGAGCAGACGCCACCGGGAAAAGGTAAAGCAGCAGCCTTTGCAACGCAGGAATATGCCCCAATCATGTCCCGCGGGGAGAAGGCGAAGGAGCTTATGGTGGTTGTGAAGCGCGGAAAAGGTGTCCACTATCAGGAAAGGAAGCAGTCGCCTTATCTACCCGTAATTGGCGACATCCGCAAAGATTGTCCTCGCATGACGTGGGCAGAAATCCAGAAGAAATACATTGACTGCGAGGTTGATGATGGTTTCTTTTTCAGCGACGACGCGGATGATGGCCCGAAGAGCGTGGATATATACGAGCATGTTGACGAATACGAATGGACGCCGCTGAATTTTGATGCTAATGCATAAGAGGTGAACTGCGGCGACGGACCGATGTCTGGCTGCTAGGTCGGCGGATTCATCAACCCGACTGTCATCGGAATCATCAGTCACGGCCATCGAGCATTGCTCCGAGCTAGCCTCCACTTGCCCATCAAAACGACCCTAGACAGCAAGAATCGACCCGGGGGGGTATTTCACACGCTTAGTACCAGGGACCATGATCTGTAATTGAAATAAGCAGCATCTTCAGCATGGTATGGTATGTTGAGATCATCCTCTTTAGTTGACTTTGAGATTCTTCGTTTGACTGTACCAAGCTGTCGCTTTCTGATGATCATTGAACATGGTGATCTTTCGAGAAGCGCGTGGAACGGTTGACGCATGACGGTGGCCGACATTATGTATACCAAGGCATGGCTTCTGAAAGAACTTTTGTCCACTTCTTACCAGTTGCTACCCCGCTAGACACATCTACCCCGGCTGTCACGGCTGTCCATGAATCTGTCCGCCAAATAAATGCTCTCCACTTGCCGGCGATCATTTGCTCCATTTTATCGGCCCGCATCTAAAATACAGCCGCCCTAGAGTCTGTGGTGTAATGAAACGCAGTCACGTAGACAATCCCTTTCTCTCGAATGTCTCTGGCCAACACATGGTTGTCTTCTCCGCCACCGCCTATTAAAAGGTTGTGAATTAATGCGGGGGGTTTCGTAGTATATCCTACCTCGGTATTCCAGAATAAAAGAACAAAGTGGGGGATGCGCTCATGTTTGGCAGGAAACGGAGGGAAAGTGATGCTATACTGAAATATGGTCCCGAGCGGGACTAGGGTTCCGTTGAGCGAGTTAATCCCGAACGGAAGTAAACGACGCTATATGCTAAGCAAAGTGGTGAACTCAGCGACCCAGGGCTGTACGGAGATTTCTTTGGCTAGACGTGTTGCATTAATATCGTTGGGGTGGTAAACCCGCTGCGTTAGCGGCCGGGCATAGGTGGTAATGACCCTAGCGCAGATGTAAGAAAAAATCCTAAGCAGCTAATGTGCTGGATATCTGACCTTAAACATGCCAATCACGAGACGAATGAGAGAAGTAAGGTTAAGCGGCGCGTATACGGGTTAACCACTGAAAATTAAACGCGGATATAGCAGGTAAATCTTAAGCAAATAGCCGTATAATTATTTCTTAAACTTAGGCTTAAGTAAGAGTTACTAGAAAGACATCGCGAATCTTAATATTCTATCCCAGATTATATAGCCCTTAAATGCGAACGAGTGTCTTAAGATCCCATGCGTTAGGGGTAAGTCTTCCTTCTTAATCTCGCCTAGGCGTCTAGTGAGAAGGAAATGCTAGCTGATGCGCTCCATATTATATATGAGTAAATACTTGGACTAAAAAGACTAGTGATCCTTAAACTCTAGCGGGTTAAGAAGATTAGTAAACCGTAGGCTAGACGGCCGGTCTTCCTTAAGAAGCGGTTGACCAGCTAAGAACGAGGTTAAATGACCGCCGATGTAGTCTCTGGGTTCATTGGCGTCAGACTTAATGCGCGTTAAGGCAGGCCGTTTTTTGGGAGGGGTGAGAGGGACAGATCTTACGGGATATTGCTCATATGTATATAGTCGAAGGTCTGAGGAAACAGAGTCGGATCGAGCGTCCGGCTATCATTGGGGGCCGACAGTTGGTAGTCTAGTAAATTGTACCGAATGCGTTCTATAATATCTGCCATCTCTCCTACGATTAGTTCCACGACCAACCGTTTCTAAAGGCCGAGTGTTAACATTAAGATGCAGAAGGCGCGGAATACGTCTGTAAGCTGTTCTATGGAGCTGGTATTAGCTTTCTTAGTGGGTTCTAGAAGACCCATTAACTCGGCTACTTCTAATGGATGAAACTCGAGCGGGTGGGATCTTTTATCCCCTTGCTCCCGGCTTCTATTCGCGAAGTTATAATCGATGAGTGTATTGTTAATTCTCCAATTTAAATTAATGTATTATAATAGTTTCTTACTCTTACCTGTTAAACGGTACTCTACTAGAGGGCAGATAAGGGATAGCTCGCGTTAATTTATAACCGCTAGAGGTGGTAATAAAGTCGTAAATTTCTTGAAATCTTCTCTTTCTACTATAGGTCTATGCCTTAGGTATTAGCTAAAATAAGACACTATTCGCAGCCTATCTTTTAAGTGTTTTTGTTTTATAAATCTTCAAACATTTATGACTTTAAACATCCCGTCCCATAGCTGCTACTACTAGCGAAGGACTCAAATAAGAGGCTTTTAATCGTGCTCTTAAACGTAGGTAAATGGAAGGCTAGCATTTTCACTCTTAAGCCTCTTAATAAGCTCTTTAATATTACTTTAAAGTTTAACCTTAACGAACGGTGGAATAACCTAGCAGCTAAAGATATAGGCTATAATTAGAAAATAATTTATAGTATTAGGAACTTTCTCCGAAATCTTAGTATTAACTTAAACCATCATATGAAATAAGATAAGCAGCCTAGCTAATACCGCTAGCTTTAAATCTAGTATAATAAAATAAAGCTTTCGGAAAATAAGACTCTGCATTTTAGTATCCTTATAGGCTATTATAGTAATCGCGGAAAAGAGGTTGCGTCTATCTCCACTACCAGCGAAGAAAAATGAGATGTCCGGCCTTTTAGCGGCTTTCATTCTAAGTGGCTCGGTTAAGGCTTTTACATGGTTATAGCCCACGTAGTAATATTCTAGTATGTCTTAGCTAGATGTCTAATTAATGGGAGAATCACACTGGAAACGGGGCTAACATACAGGCATAGCTTATACTATGGTATCTGGTCAAGGATTTATCTTCTAAGAACGGATTCGTTAGGGACCTTAAGCTATAAGGCCTTCACCGATTCAACCGATTTGTATAGCTTGGTTCAGAGATGACTATTACTAATGCTAGACATAGCATTCTCCGTAGAGTTAAAGTCAAGTAAGTACAAGAAGCACTTGGCTAATCGGCTGTATAGCTTATCTTTCTTAGAGATGTTATTAGCCCCATAGATACTAAGTAATATTGCCTCCTTAATGTAAGCAATGGCACCCTTATAGTCACCCATCTCATATCTCACTGCCGACAGATTAGAGACAGGTGACAAGTCATGGGGAGCGAGAGCTGCCGCTTTTGTGTATGCTTTTTCGGCTGAGAAGATGTTAAAATATTGCGAGACTATGTGCGTGGAGGATAGTTTACCTGCAAAAAGCTTGCCGGCTCTATAGAAATCGTTTCCTAAAGCTCTGGCTTCGGCAGCGTTATCATTGGCAATTTGAGTCAGCATTGTGCTCCGGGGAATAATTATGAGATCTAGATAAGCTCAAGAGTGAGGTATGCACCGCCGACACAGACTTCTGCATTTATATGATTGAGCGTGTCAGGCCCCTAACTCCTAACTTATCACTTAATGGGGTAGAGTACTAGAGAACGGGTGCTTGGAGAAAGCGACGAACTGGGTGGTGGTACATGATGATTCTTTAGCTGGTGGCCATGGCTAGCGGTGAAGGGGAGAAAAAGGGGCTCTCAGACATTTGGTGGGGCACGCCTTGGTGACCAGCGCTATCTTAGTGCGCGGTATAAATGACCATGTTTGAGGCGTGAAGAGCGACCCTTGGGCCTGGACGACGGGATGCCAGTTAGAATAATGCAGAGCTTAAGGTATTATTAATAATCACTAACTACATGTTTATTGATAGCATGTAAGTAAGTATTTGAAAAGGATGGGCGTGCTCCATGGTGCGATGAGGGACGGTACCTGCATCTCCACAGGCTGGGAGCACCAATCAAATGACACAGGTTTGGGCGTAGGCCCAATACCATAAGTTATCTGGCGTGCCTCATCTACTACCTCCATTGTCCGTTCCAGGTCAGTCTCGGAACGACTTTTGCGAAGCTGGTTATTCCCGAAGCTTAACGCCATGTACCTGTTGCACATGCTTCTTGAAGGCATTAAAACTGGTTAAGAAGTCACTAAAAAGCACACATTATGGATGGCGGCAAACGAATCTTCCTTTATCGCGCTCATGCCTAAGATGCATGTTCTTCACGTGGTCCATCATATGAGATACGCGCTTAAATGAGCGCATGCGCGAAGCGTATGGGAGCCGCTCTTCGCCCACATAAAAGATGCACTGTGTTCTACCAAGAATAAGGGGTATTTCCTTAACTTCGATCTTGGGAACGGCAGCTTTGATGACGGGAAAGCCCGGGCGAATGCTACTTCCACAGAGTGAGGATGACGTGAATGGCAATTGGACCGGAGGACGCACCTCACGGCGGGATGCCAGACGAACCATGAGGTTAACGGCCCGGATCTTACGGTCTGTGAGGGCGTTTATACTTAAGTCTTGTCTGAAGTCGCTTAGTATCGCTTGTAACTGTGTTCGTTCTGCTAGCTGATGCTGCACACTAGGCTCGGCTTTAGCTTCTCCGCTAAGCTTAGGGTTTATTGTGTTTATTAATAACCCATTTAGCTGCTTCTAAAGCTCCTCATTATAAATGCGTTAATAATATACTTCTTAATATACTTTCGTTATATTAGCCTAAAAGGCTTTTTTAGTGTTTTTAAGATGTCTTTACAGTTATTAATACTCTTCTCTAGCTACCTTTAACGTATACTTAATAAAGCTATACTCTTACCTTATATAAAACGCCTATTAATAAATTTATTTTATAAGGCTAATAACTTTAAGATTAAGAGATAGCTTATTTAGCTTTACTTTAGGTATTTCTTTAAGAACTTTAAGATTACATTTAATACTTATATATATAAAGGCTTATATAAGACTATTAATAGATAAGTCTCTTTTAAGAAATACGTCTTACGTATTAAATTCTATTTAATAGTTTTAATATATATTTTACATGTATTTAATAAGGGGATTATACCTTATAATCTAATTTATAATAGAATTAAGAGTAATATTAAGTAAAGCGTTTATATAGCCTTAATAAAAATAATAAGATATCTATTTTTCCTTTAAGCTAAGATTATAGCTTATTCTATTAAGGTAGAATATATATGTAAAATATTTTATTAGCTTTATTTTAAATTTAACCTATCTAGTAGTAGTATAAACTAACCTTTAAAAAACTAGCTTTTTTAGAATTAAAGGCTTCTAATAAACCTTTATTACTTTTCTGCGAATATAACTTAAGAAGAGCGGGGTAGCGTGGTTAAATTCGTTTACTTTTATAGCATTATTACTTATAGCACGAGCTAATAGATAACTTATAGGACAAAGAATTAGCAAAGGATTCTCACGAAACAAGAAGATAGTACTGTAGAGGAAGACGTTAGTGTACTAATACAGTCTTCGATTTAAGGTTAACTCACGGTTTTAGCTTTCTATCGGCGCCTTTATAATATCAAAAGAACACCTCCATTGCTAACACGTCTCGGCCCCTCTAATTAGGGTCCTGAACGATCCAAAGCACTATATCTTCGTAGCAAAGAGCTTTGTGCTTTCGGATAGTTTCAGTAACGACCTCGTCACTTCCCGCGCCCTTGCATGGGAGAGAAGCTTGCGTTCCACCCATCTTGACGTTATCGCCAAGAATATTTGGGCCTCCATCGTCACTGTTCTCCGTGTCGTCCTCGTCGGTGTCGCTTGTGTCGTTGCTGTCAAAGGCGTCAACCTCAGAGAATACTGGGTCTCCTGGTTCTGACTGGAACTCCTCCGGCTTGTCCTCTTTGCGTGGCAGTATCTTTTGTATCTCGGGAGACAGTTCAGTCATATGTGAGGGATCAACAGATAGTTCCGTTCCTGAGTCTTCGTCGTCTTCGTCGTCAAGCATTGGATCTTTTCCTCCCCTGGACTTTGTACCATCCACAAGCTCAGCCGGCCGGCAGGCTGTGTAAGACTGGAAAAGCATTATAGCGGACAGGTTAAGACGGTCGCCTTCGGTTGGGAAGACACTCCTATCCTAACACCAGTGGTGCGTCAAGCCTAGGAGGAGGTTATTAACTCCTATAACCGGCTTAGAACTTGGCTGATCGTTTAAATTAAATGCCACAGCTAAGTGCCCATTAATGTACTATCTATAGTCAGTCTAGGCGTGCTCTTGCCTCAATTATAAGGAGTACACATGCCTTTTAAATCTCTTCGCAATCATTTACATTAACAACTCTACCCTTATTTAAGCGTCTATAAAGCATTTTTAAGTCCCGCTAATACTAATTAACTATTTTTCTCTTAAATTATTTTCTCCTAGGCTAAAGATAAGTTTCATAAATCTATAAGAGAAACGTTATTATTAGACTCTTATTACAGTATTACCACTTAATAGCATTTCTCTAATTGCTATGTTAGTTTTCTCTGTAAAATCTAGTAGCTTGTTAGTTTACTGTGCCGCTAAACGAGCTATAATTTCAGTTTACCTCATGAACTTCTTCTTAATGTAGTAAATGTTGGCCTTTATAGTATCTGCATTTACTAGTGCAAGAAATGTCTTCTTGTTCAGCTGCCTCTGCAAGCGATGGTAGCCGTGTGCACTCAATGCTTGTTTCCGAGTCTCTTTGCGAGCTAGAGTGGCTCTGTGGCGTCTCCGAGCAGCGACTTCAAGAGCTTGCAGAACATCATCATGCAGTTCCCTGTCCGTTATGGTGATAAATAAGTAGAATTCTGCAGAAAAAAAGTGGACAAATGAAATCTCCTCCTTCCACTTTGAAGAAGGAATATGAAATTAATGAGTTGAGAATAGAGCAGGCATGCGGCTTGTATTTATAGACGTCGGTCGGCAGTGACGAAGGTGACTAGAAATAGGTGCTGGAGGAGGCGCAGTAATACAACTAACTGGCGCCCCAGGCCGCTTTCTGCCGTGAGAGCCAGGGCCAAAAATCGGCACGCTACCGTCTCCAGGGCTCTTTTTGGGGGGGTGTGCGAAGGGATGCCCCACCGGTGAGCGCCGCCTAAAGCGGCGTCAATTGTCGCCGAGTTGGGTGGACGAAACCGTGACACTTGGCTTTATTATATAATATAAGAGAGTAAAAGACTTAATTTTAAATAAAGAAATATTATTAAAGAAAGAATTAATATAGGAAATTAATCTAATATAAATTAATTTCTAGAAGAAGAGAAGGGAATATGTTGATTTAATTAATTAAAACCTAAAATAAATAAAGCTTAAAAGGGAATAATATATAATAAATTTTAAAAGAGAGCTTAATATAGTATTAAGGTTAATACTAGTTTTTCTCCCCCTTAGCCTATTAGGGAGAAAAGTGGACTCGGTTACGTTATATAGTAATATAAGGGGTAATAATACTAGGGACACTTTAGGCATAAATGATAGAAAGAGAGACCAATTAATATAACTCATGCCCCAAATTATCATACACACCCCACACGCTTCAAGCACCGACTTTAAGCTTCGACATTAACTAACCATCTCCCGCCTAAAGTTCAACCACGTGGATATATTTCCCATAAGCGGTGACTCTCGGACACCTTTTCCCCCGCGGTGGTCGATTTTAGATCCAACACCACTTGTCCATCGCAAACGAGCTCATCAAGAAAGCATCCACTCACAAAACTTGCTCCGATTGGCAACCCGTCGCCATGGTCAGCTTGAGCCTTGTTCATGATTACTTCAACTTGGCTAACTAGATGGCAGTTCCAACCCGGGTTTAGCGGTGGCTTCGATCCGGCCAACCCGGAACACCTTTACAACATGGCCCGCGGCCGGAGACCGATGATGCAGCGATTCGATGAATACTACAGGTGCTACCCCGTCGTCATGGCCCCCGGTGCGGAGCGACCCGAGTTGAACTATGGTTCCAAAATCATTCTGCCGCCATCGGCCTTGGACAAAGTCTCAAAGCTGCATGTGCAGTGGCCGCTGCTGATGGAATTGATCAACGGGGAGAAGGGAAGGCATTCCCACGCCGGTGTATTGGAGTTTATCGCAGAGGAGGGGCGGGCATATATTCCCCAGTGGGTGGGTAACTTGGCCATGACCACATGTGCGTTTCTCGTAGACTAACAGACTTGCAGATGATGGAGACGCTTGGCATGGACGTGGGCGATATGATTCAGATCCGAACCACGTCACTCGAACTAGCAAAAATGGTCAAGCTTCAGCCGCAATCAGTCAACTTTTTAGAAATTAGTGATCCAAAAGCTGTGCTGGAGAGGGCTTTCAGAAACTTTGCCACGCTAACCAAGGGCGACGTGTTCAACTTTGAGTACAACGACGAGATATACGAGGTGGCCGTACTGGACGTGAAGCCTGAAACGGACAAGATGGGCGTCAGCATGATCGAGACAGATGTGTCGGTCGAGTTCGCGCCCCCCGTCGGCTACGTCGAGCCCGAGAAGAGAAGCGGCACCAACACGCCCGGCAGCACTCGCAGCGGCGTTCCCACGGGAGGCCTTGTCCAAAGCCAGGGCACCATGGCCCAAGCAATCGGCTACAGCTCCATCGCGCCCTCCGTCACCAGCAATCCCACCAACTTTGTCGGCGAGGGCCAGCGCCTCACAAAGAAGGGCAGCAAGGCTTCGACGCCAAAGCCGGCAACGCCCGTTCAGGCCGAACCAACTGCGCCCAAGAGCCGAACTGGCGCACCGGCACCTCTGCGCTTGGCACCGAATAAGCTGTTCTTTGGGTACGAGTACAAGCCGCTGAAAACCACAGAGGAGAAGGAACAGGAGAAGGAGGACGCCAAACGGCCGCACTTTGCCGGCCAGGGACAGAGTCTCCGAGGAACCATCAAAAGAAAGGGCGAGGCGGATGACAAGAGCAAGGCGCCCGACAAGAAGGGTCCTAGTGAAGGTTACAGACTGGACGGTCGCCGTCCGAAGTGATGACTGGGTTTCTTTTTTTTTTGGGGGGGGGGGGGGGGGGGGTTTGGTTTTTGTG